CCAATATTTAAATTATTTACATTATTTTAAATAGTTTATTTACATTATTTAATTCGGGTTGGGGATAAACATTTTTCAAATCATTTAAACAATTTAAATATTTAAACCCGCCCCGGGCCCTCCCCCCCCCGGGACCCGGGACCCCCCTTTAAATTATTTAAACTTTAGAAATTATTTGAATTATTTAAATTAGTTAATTCGGGCCAGGAAGTTAATAATTTAAGAAAACTTAAATAATACAAATCCTGGGCCCTCCCCCGGACCCCCCCCAGGCCCTCCCCCATCATCTTCATCATCTTCATCATCTCCATCATCTTCATCATCTTCATCACCTTCATCATCTCCATCATCTCCATCATCTTCATCATCTTCATCATCTCCATCGTCTTCATCATCTTCATCATCTTCATCATCTTCATCATCTTCATCATCTCCATCATCTTCATCATCTTCATCATCTTTATCATCTTCATCATCTCCATCATCTCCATCATCTCCATCATCTTCATCATCTCTATCATTTCCATCATCTTCATCATCTTCGTGATCTTCATCATTTTCACTCTGTTATTGTTATTCTTGTTGTTCTTGTTCTTCTTGTTGTTGTTGGTTCCTTCACACCTCAAGCTTGCATCGACTTGCGAACACTGCATCGACTTGCGAACACAATCACTTTTACATGTCTCATGACGATGATCGGATGCACCTTCTTCCCCATCCATCTCGTGAAGAAGGCTAGGTTGCTTTTGCATTCCGGTCGGTTCGCACATGCCAGCCTACGTACTCCTCCGCATTGGTAGCTGAGCATCCTTACATTGCAGCCTTTCTCGGCCCGATATATCGCCCTGCATTCTGACTTCCTCCGCTTGCGGCCATGCCTGCCTCTGGTACAGCACTGAAGCTTCGCCTGTCTGTCATGAAGGCCAAATATCTTCAAAAGAAAGGGTACCTTCGTGAGCAGTACGTCAAGCTTCGAAAGTTGCGGACAGACATTGAGCGCATCGAGAAGAACTTGGACGACCAAGAGGAAGATCGCTCCTCTTCTTTTTCATCCGGCTCACCACTGCTTCCTCCTTCGGATAGCGATGGCGAGAGCGGTGAGGAGCGTGGCTAGGATGACAAGGGCGACACAGACGCGGAGCCGAAAGTTTCTACCCCACACCCCAAAGGCGCCCAGTCGTCTAAGGAGAGCCCGCCCCCCCCAAGTCAGGCACGAGGGTGTCCGACTTGAGCCCCCCCAAAGGCAGGCGGGTCCTTGGCCAAGCCAAACCCTGTGCCGGCCAAAGGGAGTGGCGTGAAGCACCCTCGAAGGTCAAGGCTGGAGCCCAAACTGCAACGGCAGCAGCTCGCCGAGACCCGGGGCGCCCAACCACATGGGCCACCCGAATGCCGCAGGCGACCTCTACCCAGGTTTTCCAGACGACCACCCGAAGCACTGCATGGCGTGTGAACAACTCGGGCTTTAGGGTTTTGGTGCGGTTTAGGGTTTTGGGGTTTAGGGTTTTAGGGTTTAGGGCTTTAAGGTTTTAGGGTTTTGGGGTTTTGGGTTTAGGGTTTTAGGGTTTAGGGTTTGGGGTTTAGGGTTTAGGGTTGTGGGTTTAGAGATCAGGTTTAGTCCAGACTTCGCACCGCGCTGCGGCAGGAGCACGATTGGCGCCACCCGGTACACGAACCCAATGATGTGACTTCACCTCATATTATTAGACCGCTAAACTACCCGCATAAAGCTCCATTAAGTCATCAAATAAAGCCCTATGAAGCCTCAAAATCTCCACCCTACCGACCCTGCAGTGCATTCTTAGGTCCTGACTCGTGCCCAGCCCTCGGCAACCAGCGTCTTTTCCTGGTGGGTTGAGTTGAGAGGTTCTTTCCTCCTAAGCCTACATAATTCGTGTGGCGTTTTGGTGGTGTGCGGTTTAGAATCCGCATGAATAAGGGTTTTAATTTGAGTTTTTGGAGGAGCGTTGGGTTCTATTCAGGGGATATTACGGGTAGAATGAGAGAAAGTTGTCGGGAGCATGGAGGTTGAGGCGATGAAGGCCAATGAGCGCATCGCCAGATTAAATGGTTATCGATTTGAGGTTTAGTTTTAGTTGTTAAAACAGGGCTTGGAATAACTAGCAGGAGCATCTCCGTATAGCCTTTTTATGTAACTAGACTATATAGTATACCCCAAAAGCCCTCTGCGGCGCCTCTGTTACGGAATCAAATTTTAAGAGGTGGGGCCACACTTGGCAAACCCTAAACCCTGAGCCCCCGAGCAGAGCAAGCAACTCCAACTTCCGATATTCTCGAACCCTAAACCCCGCATCCTAAAGCCTTAGGGGTACTTTGAAAAAATCTTAATCTTTGGCTGCTGTAATCCCTTGGAAACAGCTAAAACTGTAATTTCTGCAAGGATCTCAAGTTCAGTACTGAAGCAGGCGCCAGGGCGATTGGGCCGGTTGAGTGGCCTCGGGTTTAGGAGTTTAGGCTTTTGGGCCGTAGGGTTTTAGGGCTCAGGGTTTAGGAGTTTAGGGTCGAGGGTTCGGTCTAACTGGGTTGAGGTTTGAGGGTGCGTGACGTGGTTTGGTTAAGGGCTTAGGGCTTTAGGGTTTGAGGCGCAAGGTTTGGAACAGCGTGCAGCCCTCTGGCTTCAGTCCTAGAATCAACCTTGAACCCAAACCCTGAACCCTAAACCCTGCACATGAAATTAAGGGTTTAGGATTGAGGGCTTAGCGTTTAGAGTTTAGGGTCCCGCGCAGCATGTTGGTCAAAGCAGAGACTGCCTAATCGGGTTTTGGACGTGGCATTGTCCCCTAGGACCTGACATGTTTGCGTGTTTCATTTCTCTGGTCCAAAAAGTTAACAAGATTCCCTTCAAAGACCCTCGAAGGAATCCTTTCCTTGAAGGACCCTAAAGCCTAAACCCTAAACCCTAAACCCCGAACCCCAAACCTTAAACCCTAAAGCCTTGATCCTAAAACCCAGACCTCGACATCCTCAACCCCCAAAACCTCGCAGCTTAAAGCCCTAGCCCTAACCTTTGTTCTCAAATATCCAACCTTCAAACTTTTTGGGCTCTTATAGCTTAGTAGTAACAGTAACCTGGAAGTTTAACCTTTCATTTGCCTGGCATATTGGGGGGAGTAAGTAACCTCGAAGCCGCGGAAGGAACCCTAAACAAATCCATGGCTTTCTCCGTCTGCGTGGCGCTGCTGAGTGGCCGACGCGTTGAGCTGCATTTGCCCGTCGAGGCCACCGTGGACGACCTGCGCCACGTGGGGGCAATCAGTCTTTTATGGGGCTTTTCGGGTTTGCTAGGGTCCTGTAAGGGTTCCTTCAAATGTTCTTGCAAAGTTTTTCGCAAGGGATTGGGCTTTAGGGTTTAGGACTTCGGGTTGAAAGTTGGCGTTTGGTTTTATCAGTGTGCTTGTAGGTTTTGATAAATACCCTGTGGGCTTTAAAAGCGATATTTTACACAATTTACCTTAACTTGAGGATTCACGCGAAGCTCTACAAATAACTAGTTAGCTATATGAACTCAGAACTCCGAACCCTAAACCCTAAGTGTTGCTACCCACGGACCTTGAAGTGAGCAAGATTACCATAAACCCTAAACCTCTAAACCCTAAACCACTAAGCCTAAACTCCTAAGCCCCTCAACCCCTAAACCCCTAAACCCCCTAAACCCGTTAAACGCGCCCCGAAACCCTAAACCCTATAAGCCCTAAAGTGTAAACCGTCAGCCGTAAACCCTAAACCCTAAAGCCCTAAAGCCCTAAACACTAAGCCCTGAAACCCTAAAGCCCTAAACCCGAGACCGAGGACGGCTCGCCGAGAAGGAGCTTTCCGTCGGCATCGAAGTGCTGATCCTAAAGCGGCTCGTCTGGGTTCTGGTGAAGCGGTTTAGGGTTCAGGGTTACCTTAAAGGGCACGCTAAAAAAGGAACCTTCAAACAGGGCACACTAAGCCCTATTCCCGAAACCCTAAACCCCTAAAGCCCTAAACCCTAAACCCTAAACCCTAAACCCTAAACCCTAAACCCCTAAACCCTAAACCCCAAGCCGGTCACCCTGACGAGTCTCCCGAAATCCCAGGACGGGTCGCGTTTTGGCTCCTTCGGAGAAGTTGGCCGATGCCGATTTGGAGGCGAGCTTCGGGTTTAGCAGCTCCGGCTCCGGATCGAGCAGTGCTACAGTAGAGCTGTATTTACGATTTTGATACAACACCCACCCACCCAAAGAATCCCATAAGATTAGAAAATGTTCATTAAACCATATAGGCCTGTTCATCAGGTTTTTATTCACCAATGGCCTTTGTAATATAGGGATCTGGCTACTATGTTTAGCTACTATCCTAGGGGTCTAACTATTATTTTACTGGTTTAGGCTTCGAGCTACTATTTTAAGGTCCGGACTCTTATTTTAGCGTTCGGATTATTGTTTCAGGGTTCAGACTACTATTTTAGGGTTCCGACTACAGTCCGTGGTTCAAAGAAATTTTGCCTGGAACCACGAAGGATTTGCTTTGGCCTTGAACCACGAATTATTGGCCTGGAACCACGAACTATTGGCCTTGAGTCGCGG